CAGAAAGTCAATAGACGAGTAAACAATAGAACAATAAGATTTGATATTAAAAATATTTAACTCAGTCTCGAAATGTTGTAGGATTTACGATTATAATCATAATGCACAAAAGATTTTTAATCCGAATCAATTCAGAAATGCCTCGAACTCTCTTTGCAACAAATGAATAAAAACTGGGCTTCGAAGACAGGACAGGAGGAAGCTTAACACAATTTCATCGGGGCACAGGAAGGTAGGTCGACGACTTCTTTGCACAATACAACAGCCTTCCCTACACGGTAATTCTCATTCGGTTTCCAGTGAGAACTCCTTACGAATTCCTTCCGACCAATTTTTCTTTCGAAATGGAAAGTCATGTCTATTTGGCAACACCAATACGTCAGGCAACGCTTTAGTTATGACAACTCTTGATGCATTCCAACTGGAGCATGTAATGTTCGACCAACCTTCATCTCTTAACTATCGAGTTGCCGCAATAAACGACGTAGTTTACTCTCATTAAAACCCTTTCCTTGGCAACCTTTCTGACATTAATTAAGTGTAGCAATGAATTACTTCTCTTTCCTTAAGTTGTTCAGATTGAGATTATGATGTCTTCAAAAAGTGGTCAGGTAGTCGAAATAACTCAGCTTCACATTCATTCAGAAGAATGATACATTTTTGAGTATGATTGGCATATTTATCTTTCCAATTATATCTGAATGTTCTTGGTGCACATGGATGGTAGCGTTTCTCTATTTCAGTCGCTATTTTATTTTAAGCAAAGTCAGGTTTATTATAAATTTTTATTTAACTGACAAAATTAAACTGAGCCAATAAAAGTTTCATTTAATTTCCTATGAAAAATTGATGAGAAGGTTGGTTCTACTGGAGATGGAGGTATGAAGTTTAAAAAAACAAAATTTTATGTAAAGAATATTTTAGGGGCTTCTCATCTGCTTTTTAAGGCCCACACACTTTTTAGTAAAAAACATCAATTTTAATGCAGAAAGTTCCAAGCCAGCCTTAAAACGGAATTTATGCGGCAATTTCCAGGGTTGGCAGAAATTCTTATTTCTGAGGTATGAACAAATAAAATATATTTTGCCGACTAAACGGTTTCCTCAATAATGTTAACTCTGCTTCAAATAACCATGGAACGTGTATATATGTACTCGACGTCATAGCAACGTGCGTTACTTCGGTTATAGTTTGGTATATACTAAAAACGAGACAATTAATTTTAGCCTAAACTTTCACGTCTCAGGAAGGCCAGTAAAAAATAATGCTAAGTACTGGAAATTTTGGCTGCAGGCTGGCCCTTTAAAACTTTATCAGACAGTCCAAGAAAATAGATAAGCAATTTTAATGAGCTAAAGATAAAGGAGTTGTTTGCTTGGGGAAGAAAATTGTGCGCCAATTGGGGAATTTCAAAAAAATGTCGAATGATGAATTGCTCAGATTAAGCATTATTTTTATTTCATTTGGAAATGGCAACTGAAGTAACTTTGCCTCTGATAAGCCATAAGAATAGGCCAAGCTGACTTTTTAGGAATACGCACAGCAAAATTATCTGACAAATTCATTTCCTTATCAAGATGGACGAAATGACGTCATAAAAACCCATGTTATCGTAAAGAATATGTGAGATAAAAGTGAATCTCACCTCTTCTGGAAATAAATACTAATAGCATCTACCGCCACGTATTTACTTGACTACCTGCCAAATTATAGCGTCCAAAGGCAATCTTTCATGTTCTGGTCTTATGGCCAAATAAGAAAGTTATTCTGTTTGTAAATTAGACTCTATCCAACACACAAAATCACACGAAAACACTTTATGGAAATAAGAAGGTGGCACAAGTGAAGATTCGCCTACACAGGTACAAGAAAAGTGATACGATCTTTTGAAAAGAAGCAATAGTTCGTGTTTGGTGAATGCTTGATCATGCTATGAACTTGATTGCTATGATTAAATTGTGAGGATGCCATAAGACTATGAGATGGCACTAGAAAATAACATAAATCAATCTGTATTAAAGCCCAGTTTGTCTAAACTACTTAGTAATGCCGACTTCTGTAGATTAATAAGAAGGTTTTCGAGACTACCATTAAATCAGTTATATGATTCGTGTTCACCATATTTCTTTTAAGGTGATGTACAACTGGTAGCTGATTTTTCCCACAATGCTATGAGTAGAGATGACATATCCAGTAAATTTCACATAGCCTTGCTTCCAAAAAGGTGTTCTCATCCAGATTGTCTGCTCTCAAAGCTATGCGCTCCTGTTGTCTAAGCTTCTTTGTGGTATTATCAACACATACCCGATGACAAAGGAGAATCATTTGTAGTTATGGATAGGGCAGATTATATGGAAAAGATGATGCTGGCTTTAGCTGATTTTGATACGTATAGAATTATAACTAAGGACCCTACAGAAACACTAAAGTCGAGAATTAATAGTGGCCTGCAACAGTGCGTTAATAGCGGAGAATTGGAGATGTGGAAAATGTGGTCTGCCCAAAATCGACAAAGAGGGGGTCCCATTTGGGATGATTGTGAACAATGTGGATGGTGTGATGTACAAAACATGACGATTCTTTTGTGGTCAATTAAAGCGAATTTCAAGTTTCTGGACATTTTCAATAAAGAATTATTCTGACTTTAGAAAGTTAATAGACGAGTAGTATTGATGCACCTGAATGTACCGATACGTGGGGCCATACAGGCGTTAGGATTAACCTCAGATCTACACCCAGAGATGATATCAGCAAATAGGAAGAGAAAAGGGTCAGTCGGGCGATTGGCGAACTGAATAATGAAAATTTGGTATTTTTTAGAATGTCCAATTATGCCAACAAACAGGAGGGTTGGCTGTGGGATCGGGTTTGTCTCCAGTTTCAGCCAATGACTGCATGGCTCAATTGGGAGGTGGGCTTTTTCAAGAGTCACTCCCACTTGTTGAATCACCGGCCAGAGGTAGCGACAG